CCCAACTACTGGTACCAGAATCTTGCAGACAGATGCCAGTAACCTATATTGGGGTGCGGCCCTCTTAGAACAAAAAGATGAGGATGAACTTCCTAAGCTTTGTGCTTATAGAAGTGGTAAATTCACAGAAGAGAATCACATTACCACTCAACGTTCAAAGAAATCATCGCCATCAAAAGAGCCATCGAGAAATTCAGATTTCATCTCATTGGCCACCATTTCATCGTCCAAACAGACATGAAAGCATTCCCTGCAATGCTTCACCCTCCCCCAAAGCAGATGCCTCACTCTCAACTTCTCAGACTCCAGGAATGGTTCTCCCAGTTCTCCTTCACTGTAAAACATATTCCAGGAAAAACCAATTTTCTTGCTGACCTTCTCTCCCGCCAGAAACTTATTGAACCCTCAGAAATCCCTATTCTTGCCATGTTCCAAAAAACCTATCTCTCCCCCCCTGATTGGCCTCAAACACAGTCTCAAACAGCCCCTTAGTCTCCACCCAACAGAAGGAAGTCTTTCGAGCCAAACTCCTTCATCATCAGTCTATTGTTCTTCGTTCTTGTGGTCCAGTCCCTGAGGACTCCCAGTCCATCCCCAATACCCTTTCTACACCCTGTTTGAATGGTTCCCTGATCACCCTTACCCAATGGATTTATTTTTCTTTTTCTTTTATCTTTTAGAAATGTTCTCATTTGCCATTTCTTTTCCCATTCAAGAACTTATGTCTTGGTTAAAATCTTGTCACCCTGATGACTGTGCCCTTGCCCTCTTTCTCGGACAATTCCATGCTGGTCCCCAATGGCAGCAAATTCTTCAAGCTGCTCTCCCCCGTCAGAAAATGATTCAAAACCCCTCCTTCATCATTATCATTTTCTCCCGTCGAAAAGTCATTATCCACCTCCAGCCTGTTCATACTTCTCATATTTATGCTATTTTACCTTACAGTCTTGTGCAGGATTGGGAATTTCATCCCACTGAATTCAGAGAATATCAAAGGAAGATTTCAGAGATCAATGCCATCATTCCTAAAGCATTGTGGAACTCCATTGCAGACCTTTCAGATGATGTCCCTTGGGAAGAATACCCTCTAGAGTATGTTGCTAAATGTGATGCTGATATCCAGTTCTATAACCAGTCTCAGCAAGCAGCTAGCAGTCACCAAGCCTCTAGCAGTTCTGATCACAGACATCAGTTCCCGCCAGATGAGTCCTTTCAAATCCCCTAACTCGAAAATGTTCAAGGCATCCGCCACCTGTCAAGGATCCATTCATGGACTTTTATGAATTTGGAGAATGCCGAGCGGATTACGCGTGCCACATTGAGCCTTGGTGGAAACAGATGGGCCTCCCCCATAACCCAGCTGATCTGGACAACACTGATTCAGATTCTGAATAACTCCAGCTCCACCGAAAGCAAATTTGGCGCTACCATGCACGTGAAGCCTCCCTGTTGTTCGGTGTGTCTTTTAGTTTCAATAAGTCTTAAGCGAATCTCTTTTCGCTGAACACTGTAGCCATTTGGCATTTCTTTATTTCTTTTGCCCTGAGTGGCTCCTTTTCGGTTTGTTTTTTTTTAGCCCGTGACCCCTTAGTCAAAAGGGATGTTATGTTGTCTTTTGTCGGTTTGTTCTCTCCTCGCCTATATAAGCGAGCTTTGTTTCAGTTGTTCGGGGAGCCGAACCAAGTTCTTAATAGACATTTGTGTTCTCATATCCATGGCCTTCTAAATCTCTCTCCTGAGTAGATAGAATGTTTGAAGTATGAGTTCTTCTCTATCAATGCCTTGGCCAACATCTCAGACGTATGCTCTGCAGTTGCCTCTCTAAGAGGATCCTCTGCATCAGAAATCTGGAGTTGTGGAATCTTGGTCCGATGTTTTGGGCGATAGGGGTGGGGTATTAAGCTTGCCTAGGCACAGCCCAGAAACGCCGACGAGAGTACCGACGGACAGGGGAATACTGTGCATAAGTGGTGTGTCCTAGGGAGTGAATGTACTCCGCGTCCCTCCCTCCCCCTCCATTTCCTGGGCTAAAAAAACAAACCGAAAGGAACCACTCAGGGCAAAAGAAATAAAGAAATGCCAAATGGCTACAGTGTTCAGCGAAAAGAGATTCGCTTAAGACTTATTGAAACTAAAAGACACACCGAACAACAGGGAGGTTCACGTGCATGGTAGCGCCAAATTTGCTTTCGATGGAGCTGGAGTTATTCAGAATCTGAATCAGTGTTGTCCAGATCAGCTGGGTTATGGGGGAGGCCCATCTGTTTCCACCAAGGCTCAATGTGGCACGCGTAATCCGCTCGGTATTCTCCAAATTCATAAAAGTCCATGAATGGATCCTTGACAGGTGGCGGATGCCTTGAACATTTTCGGGTTAAGGGGATTTGAAAGGACTCATCTGGCGGGGAACTGATATCTGTGATCAAAACTGCTAGAGGCTTGGTGACTGCTAGCTGCTTGCTGAGACTGGTTATAGAACTGGATATCAGCATCACATTTAGCAACATACTCTGGAGGGTATTCTTCCAAGGGACATCATCTGAAAGGTCTGCAATGGAGTTCCACAATGCTTTAGGAATGATGGCATTGATCTCTGAAATCTTCCTTTGATATTCTCTGAATTCAGTGGATGAGATTCCCAATCCTGCACAAGACTGTAAGGTAAAATAGCATAAATATGAGAAGTATGAACAGGCTGGAGGTGGGTAATGACTTTTCGACGGGAAAAATGATAATGATGAAGGAGGGGTTTTGAATCATTTTCTGACGGGGGAGAGCAGCTTGAAGAATTTGCTGCCATTGGGGACCAGCATGGAATTGTCCGAGAAAGAGGGCAAGGGCACAGTCATCAGGGTGACAAGATTTTAACCAGGACATAAGTTCTTGAATGGAAAAGGAAATGGCAAATGAGAACATTTCTAAAAGATAAGAAAAAAATAAATAAATCCATTGGGTAAGGGTGATCAGGGAACCATTCGAAGGGTGTAGAAAGGGTATTGGGGATGGACTGGGACCACAAAAACGAAGAACAATAGACTGATGATGAAGGAGTTTGGCTCGAAAGACTTCCTTCTGTTGGGTGGAGACTAAGGGGGCTGTTTGAGACTGTGTTTGAGGCCAATCAGGGGGGGAGAGATAGGTTTTTTGGAAATGGCAAGAATAGGGATTTCTGAGGGTTCAATAGGTTTCTGGGGGAGAGAAGGTCAGCAAGAAAATTGGTTTTTCCTGGAATATGTTTTACAGTGAAGGAGAACTGGGAGACCATTCCTGGAGTTTGAGAAGTTGAGAGTGAGGCATCTGCTTTGGGGGAGGGTGAAGCATTGCAGGGAATGCTTTCATGTCTGTTTGGACGATGAAATGGTGGCCAATGAGATGAAATCTGAATTTCTCGATGGCTCTTTTGATGGCGATGATTTATTTGAACGTTGAGTGGTAATGTGATTCTGCTTCTGTGAATTTACCACTTCTGAAGCACAAAGCTTAGGAAGTTCATCCTCATCTTTTTGTTCTAAGAGGGCCGCACCCCAATATAGGTTACTGGCATCTGTCTACAAGATTCTGGTACCAGTAGTTGGGATCTGAAGCTGAGGGAGAGTAGGCAATTGGGTTTTGATATCTCTGATAGCTTTGGTTTGGGCTTCTGACCAGGGAGGAGGGTCTTTCTTGAGCATAAGCTGAAGGGGTCTGATGGTTTTGGTGAGGTTGGCGAAGAATTCTGCTGCATATTTAAGGATGCCAAGAATTGGAGAATTTCTTGTTTGTGTCAGATTTTCTTCAGGGAAAAGGAGAAGAGATTTAGCAATGTGAGGCTGTAGCTGGAAAGCATAATTGGAGATTTCTATTCAAAGAAATCTATCTTCTGGGTTGCAAGCACCATTTTCTTTTCGGAGAGCATAATGCCATGGTGGAGGCATAGCTCATAAAATTGCTGGAGCAGGGGGCCATGTGATTCTGTTGAGTCTGAAAATAGAAGAATGTCATCAATGTAGATGAGGGCTTGGCTGGCAATAGGTTCAAAAATGGTATGCATGGCTTGTTGAAAAAGAGAGGGGGCAGTTTTGAGACCGAATGGCATGACATTCCAATGGTAATGGTGTCCTGGAATGCTGAAGGCTGTTTTGTAATGTTCATCAGGGTAGTCTTTTGAGAAGACCTTTGCCTTATTTAGGCGAGAAAACAGGTAGTCTTTTCTGGGAAGAGGGAACTTGATATGAATGTCAAGTGTAAGTAAAAATAATCTTATATACATTTTCACAATTCCTAAATTTGAACCATACTTGATACAAATAAAATAGATTTGTTTCATTCATCATGCCATATGAGGTGTACATTTGTCTAATAATTTTTTGGTGTGTGTTTCTGTAATATGTCAAACTGCGGAGCTGTATTTGTACATTTCTATTTCTTTGTTTATCTGCCTGGGAGAGTTTCATGTGTTCAGTCATGTCAGAAGAGAACTGAATTAGGGGATAGCTTTGAGTTCTGTGCCTACCAAATTCCTTCCTCCTAAGAGTTGGAGGAAAGAGCAAGGAAACAACTCTTCTCTCTCTCTCTCTCTCTCTCTCTCTGCAACCAAGTGGACACTAAGAATAGTAGGATCTTTTGTTGAAGATATAGTGGTAAAAAATTTTTTATCTCATGCTATTTTTTTTTCAACTCCTTAAACCCCTTCATTGATCATGTTTAAACAAGTGTTTAAGAGCAGTAAACACTCAGAAGAAAAAAATTTTGACCGTACCTAGATAACTGTAGAGTTTTTGAGCATTGTGTTTCTCTTTCCATGTAAACTGCAGGAGAAGAGGTCCCTGTATTGATATTTTCTGCGGACTTGCAGATATAATAGAAGAGGTTTGTTTTATTGCCTCTGAGGTGTTTGGATTTGATGAATTATTTTAAGCTCTAATCTGTACCATGTGTGGTGTCTATCTTTTCTCACTCGCCAGGTCTTCAGGCAAAAATTGCACAAGTCTTTCAAAAATATTAAGATTGTTTCAAATCGAATGGTGTTCGATCAGAGTGGTCAACTAGTATGCTTTAAAGGTATTCTTACCTGATACCAGATTTAATTTTTATTAACTAACCCTCTGTACCTGCTACTGTTATTTAAGTCATGCAGGACTGGTAGCTCAAGGATAATCAAGGTCTTTTATGCACATATTAAAACCATATAGGCATTTTTGATAGGGGGTAAGATTAGGGTATTAGCTGACTAGGACATTGCTCTCTGTTGCATTGAGGGTGAAGGCTCTCCATTTTTGGATCTCCATCCAGTGATCCGCAATGCATGTAACCTTCCTTTTCCTATTCATATATCTTCTAAAATCTCCCATTGTTCTTTTTTATGCAATCTACAACTTAGTTCCTACCTCTAGGAATGTCTTAAAATCCTTCATGGTTAACCCCAGATTCAACTGTCTATATCCTTTACAACTGATTCCTATATTAACTAGGAAACCTAGACAAAGATATTAATTAAAATAAAATGCTTGGAATTGCTAAAATTTTACCCTATGCTTTGACCGTCCTCCTGGGATACTTGTCAATAATCCCATCTTTCAGCTACACTTTATCTGCAAGTGCCTTGCTGTCTTAAACGAGAAACAAGCATACTTTGGCAAAGTACTGGATAATTTTCAACATGTCTTTGTGATATACATCTTGTTGTGCAGCATAGTGGAATTTCTAATATCACTCACCTTTTTTAGTGTTTGACGACATCTTAGCGATGTGAGTCATTATCTAAATATCAAGATCTCCATATTGTTACAGGAGAAGACAATTCATGTTTTAAACAAGAATGAACATGCTCTTGATATGGCTGCTCCTGTTCATGACCACTTGGGTGATGTTGATGGATCCATTTGCGACAACATGTCAGTAAAGAAGAGAACTAAATGTTCTGCTTCTAGGTGATCATATAGGAGACTTGGGAATGTCCGATGGATTGAACTATGAAAAAACACGAATATCTGTTGGGTTTCTGTAAGTCCAAGGAATTGCTTACTTTCTGTCGAATCTCATGCAGATTTGTTTTAGCAATTGATATTTGAGATCAGCAATTTCTCATAAAATTGAAAGCTATTTGTCTGATCTTAAAATTAAAGGTCTTCTCTTAGATTTTTATTAGTTATCAATATCTATGGTTAAGCATTAACTTTCATTTTCTTTTGCATAAATTCATATGCATGATTGGAATCCTATCACCTTTATTAACTGTATAAAACAACACACTTTTCAAAAAAAAATACCTCAGTAGAGGTTTGCTGATGGCCCAGACAAAAGTTTTGATATATATATATATATATATTATAAATGGGAATCAGTAGTGTCTTTAGAAGCCTACTGAAGAGGGCTTATTCCTTCATCAATTAATTAATTAACTTATTCAAAGTTTGATAATTTCACTTGATAATATTTTCTTGAAAATTAGTTTTCTTTTTTCACTCTTTCTTTTGACTCATTGGATGTTCGTCTTCCTTCCCTTCAGTATCATTTTTATTATGTCTCTTCTCCATGGAAGAGGGCAAACCCTACAGGGAGGGAATGGGGGAGGGAGGGGTTATGAGGAAGATGCTTGAATCCAGAACCTTCCTCAAGGGGAGAGAAATGCCCAACCTCTTGGGTTAGAGGGGAACTGTTTTCCTCTTTTCACTTCAAGGCAACTAGAATACTTCATGTTTTGGGTGAATTATAGAGACACTTAAAATATACACGTGCAAATTTTTATAATCACATTAGATGGAAAAGTGACTCCATTTCCTTCCTTTGGTTGAGAAATTAACTGGATGCATATTAGATGCAGTCCCTTGGTTGCTTAGCTGGCAAAAGAATCCTAAACTTAGATGTTGAAGATAGTTTTATAATAATGACTTAGAAGTATGGTTGTCTGTGATATACAGTTCTGTTTAATCCAGAAATACAACTTGGATGTGAAGATTAATATTATTAAGCATGGTAAAAAATAATGGAATATTTTTAGTTAACTTTAGTTGTTCAAGCAAAGGAGGATATGACAATTTTATTGTTTGTAGGAGAGATAGTTTGAAGAGGAGAGCTTCTATTTTTGCTTGTGATCAACTTCATGATCTTATAGTATGTGGAGTTTGGGGACTGCCTAGTGGTATGTCATATTGTTGGGAATCTTGAGATTGAAGATGATAACAATGACAACCAGGGGGTAATGGTGTGGGATTCTCTGTGTTTTCCTTTCCCTTTTTTCTCTTTAATTCTCTGGGGAATGGGGACTAGGGGCAATTATGTTCTGTTGGGTTGTGGGAGTAGGGGGGATGGGGCTCTGATACCAACTTAGGGGAGGTGCCTTTACAGGGACTCATTCGCTCTATAGGATGGTACTTCCTCCTCCATTCTCATGGCCTTATCCTCTTGCGGCTCTTTCTCCGGGGGGAACCGACTGTCTAGATAAGCTTACTACCCAACCCCGTCACCCACATCTGGAATACCAAAGGTCCAGGATAGGGGTGTTCACGGTTTTGGTTTGGTGCGGTTTGATACTCAAATTCAAACAAACCATACTTTACGATTTGAAATTTTTATAAACTAAACTAAACCATGGTTTACGGTTTGGTTCGGTTTTCAAACCACAGTTTGTGATTTACAAAATAAAATGTATTAAATTCACTATTTTTATAAAAATTTTAACAGAGTTTTCCTAAAAATTGATCATCTATTTTTCTCCAACATGTTTAACTTAATAAATTTATTATTATTAATTAACTATAGTAGTATTATATTTTTATAATAAATATATTTATACCATTTTACAGAATTTTACTATTACTATAAAAATTACACTCTAAAAAAGAAAAATAATCAATTATTAAACTGAATATAAATATAAAGATAACAAAAAGAAGAAATATACAGTCAAATAATAAAAAATATACTAGATATATAAAGATAAGATTTTTAATTTTGTATATATATAAACTATACGGTTTGGTTCGGTTTATACGGTTTGTCAACACATCAAATTCAAACCAAACCACACTCTATGGTTTGGCTTGGTTTCATACGGTTTGGTTCGGTTTATGTGGTCTAATCAGTTTGGTTCGGTTTGTTGAACACCCCTAGTCCAGGATTCAAGCTTCCTGATGCAGACGATTCACTAAGAGTGGCAACTGCCAGAGCTTACGGCTTATTGTCGTTGGCCAAGGCTTGATTTCATCTTTACCTTAGAAACATTCAGGCTACTCAGAGGGAGACTTAGAAAGACATGTTTGGAAA